GCTTGGAGACCTGGAATGGAAATCACTACAGGAACGTCGTAAGGAGGCCAGGCTGACCATGCTCTACAAAGTCATCAACAACAGGGTCGTTGTAGACAACTTTCAACGCATACCTTCCAACTCCACATCTACAAGAAATCCACATAACCTATTCTACAATATCATCTACTGCAGCACACAATATCGTCAACAATCCTTCATCCCACAGACCATCAAAGATTGGAACAGCCTCCCTCCGGATGTAATGTCAGCTGGTACATTCCGTACTCATCTGTTCCAACTCTTTATCTAAACCACACTCTTGTCCGTTTTTAACCTGCACTGTATATATTCCTTACTATTTTTTTGCTCTTTCCTTCCCTCTTGCGCATTAACCTGGCAGTAAACTTCAGTTAGTTGAAGACAAGTGGATTGGAAGAAGAAGAAGAAGAAAAAGAAGAAGAAATACAGGATAAATTTATTTTCATGTATTAGTATGAAAATAAATATTTCACGTGTGAAAATGAACCAATGATGAAAAATGATAATTTTCATATCACAAGATAATAAAAAAGAATTTATTTATAGAGAAAAAAAAAACACTAACAACAACAAAAAGTCCTTCGCATATCCTCTATACACAAGACAAGACCACTAGCAAGGATCCAATGAAGGAGGCCACCAAACTGGACAGGGTACACGGGTACACGGGCAAACCTCGCACGAGATGTCATTATAAATTTTTAAAGAAAAAAAAAAGCAAATCGTAGAAACCTATTTGCAAGGTAATTGACCAGAAAAACAAGAAGGGACACAAAAGAGGTGTATGTAACATTAAACAAGACATAATTTATATGCATCTGAGGAACACAGCTAGAGGGGCGCTAGCAACCTAAGCAATGCTGGGGAGTTTAAACCGGTTATTGGTGCCCAAAAACCTCACTCTTAGGGACAACATGTTCCTTTAAACGAGAATATCTATAAAATGAATCAACGCTAAGCAAAATTATAACACTTGCAAGTTATGCATAAAAAGGTGAAAAAGTAAACACAGAAATGATCATGTAGATTCATATAAAAAGTAAACACAATGACCATTTCAAAAATATTCAATGTCTTAAAGGAAGGAAAAACATCAAGAAAATCAACAAGAAGTGCTTAACACAGAAGAAGAAAATTAATACAATTCAGACCCAATGGGTTTTAAGAATTGTCCATCATAGAGTCTCACTCACACCGTCAGGTGTAATCAAAAGAGGAAGGGATAGTGTCCAACTGTAAAAGGGTTGAACAAAAAGCATGTGGTATGTCTTGAAACAGTAGGGTCATAACCTCTTTTTCAATTTTTTTGCATTTGATAGTAAGAAAAAGTCAGGCTTGACCCCTGTTTAAGTGGTTCTTGTTTTAGATTAAACGTTGTTTTTAAATCTAATGATTGAATTTTATCTTCCATTTCTCACCAAACTTCACCTTTTTGCATTTTAATTGCATTTTAAGTATAATTAAGGTGCAGTTTTGCTTGATTTCAACACTATTACTACATGTACTTGGACTAAAGCAGGGCCAGCATTGTGAAAACACCATTTAAAGGCCCAGTATGCCCCAGAAACGCCTTTAACTCTATAACTCAGAAGCATCTTTATTTTTGTGCACTTCTATAATTTCCGAAAAATTGCACATTGGCAAAATTACTTGCACATTCCTTTTCACCTGTTATTTTTCTTGCAATAAGTACAGCTATAGTGTTAAATTTTTTTGTACGGAAGTCTATACTATATGTTTTGTTTTCATTTTGCTACATTTATGACAAATAATTTCACATTCAGTGTTTATTTCTTCATGTAACAAGCATCAAACATTCTTTTTTTCTAAAACATTATTGAATATTCCATTTCTTTGAACATACCCGTGCCGACCTTGCGAGTCGTTAAAATGGTATTGCACGGCCGTGCATATATTTTGACGTGATGCCATTTACATTATACCGTGTTGCCATTTACATTATACGAAAAGTGTAAAGATATGCTAAATGTAATCGTTATACTATTAGTAGCGCCAATGAAAAGTAAGTCTTAACCTTATATAGCACAAAACACAGTTTTGCAATGGGCAAGGCTTACGATTGTTTATCATTTGAGCAGTGTGTACAAATACATGTTATTGTAAAACTTCATTTTCATACATACAAATATACATTATGATATGACAAACCGTATATACATAAAAAGATAAACAATGTCACTTGTATATTATCGTTTTGTTAATATACTTACAAACTATATGAACCAAGGTATGATAAGTCAGGTTAAAAACCAGAGATTTAACAATCAGCCCATTATAAGGAATGTTAAAAGACTCTGGAAAACTGTTCCTATCATACCAGGGTTGTTACAGTATACCTATTTAACTTGTTACAAATATTTTACCAACATAAATGATTGTATGACTGTTACATATTTTTTTTATAAAATCTGTTTTATGCCCTATGTTTTCGATTTATCACAAATATTTACTGCAAAGCCATATGCAACAACTGGCTGAAATACAATATTCGAATTTGAATAAAAATGTCCTTCACAATCGAAACCGAGAGAAGAACTGATTTCCACGAGCATTTTTACCGCCTAAAACCACATGACCAATAACTGATCACGTGATATACGCATCAGTGATCCGCGCACTGTGCGACATAACGTTGAGAAATACGCTCTGCGGTTATACTACGTAACGCGCAGAACTTAAAATTCCTTTGCAATTTTGGGTATGTGACAAATAGAATAATATATTCGTGATGGTTCATTACTGAATTTATTGAACTTGTTGTCGTGTGACATTGACATTGGAGGTAGCGGCCTGGATGTAGTCTTATTAACATATTCTTTTGTCCCAAGTTACTTCAAAATCCCTTGATGAATAAAAATTTATGGGCTGGACCCGAAATATAAATCTAATCAGACAATGATTACCTTGATCTCAAAGTGTGATGCAGGGTTGGTTGTTTCGCAGAATATGTCGGCTTATTATAGTGAATATTTCTGCTAAGTTGTTTCAAAATTTATTGATGGACTCAATCGATATGGATCTCACACTAAATGTACCAACCATCAGACAATGTTGACCTTTGATCTCAAAGTCCGACCTTGACCACGGAGGTAGGGGTCTAGTTGTCCCGCATTACACGGTTTGTCTGGTGAACATTTGTGCCGAGTTATTAAAAAATCACTTTATCAACGAAACAGTTATGGACCTTTGATGCTTTAGTTGAAACTTGACCATGGAGTTACTCTAGTCTGGTTGTTTTTGCATGAAATGTGTTACTTTTTAGAATTGTGACGGTCAGACAGAAATACAGGCATACGGAAGGAGACAAAAACATATACAAAAAGGTTTCATCACCAAGTGGCTTTTTGGCATAAATTATTGTCGTCAATTTATTATTCAGACTAAAATAACTTTAATTTAAAATACCACAGACAATAATGGTTGTTGATTATGGTGCCATGACGTATTTTCGCTCCGTTGGGCGCCAGGCGAATACACGAAAATACGCTAAAGTAAAGACAATTAAGGAATACGACAAAGAAAAGATTTTGTCGTACTTTCGCTCCGCCGGATACGTTAAAGTGGTTATATTGCCGTATTTTCGTCTGGTGCCTTGCAAAACGAAAATACGTCGAAGTGGTGACTTTTGTGCGAAACTACGATATGGCACAAATCAGCCACCATGGCAAATCCTTTCCTATATGATAGTTTTCCCCATGATATTACTGACATAATGTTTTTATTGACATAATACTATCAGCTAGTGGATAAGTGAATTTAAAACTTGTGACATTTAACGTTGGTGTTGCGACATTTAACATTAAATTTGCGGCATTTAACGGCATTTTTGCGACATTCAGTAGCGATTGCGATATTTACCGACATATCTACAACTGTGTGATATTTAGCTGCAACTGCGGTATTTACCGGCGTTTTGGCATAAAACGGCGCCACAATGACAAGTAATACGCAATAATACAATAAAATAGATACGCTTTGATCTAATAAATGATCAGTGCGGACTAGGCAAGAAAAACATTAACAGCAGAGTTTTAAGGGGAATAATTTTGTAAAAAGTATTCAAAACGAAACATACTAGTATAAATGTTCAGAACATTTTTTTTGGAATTTCAATTCAAAGTTTCGATAAAGTCGAGCCAGTTGTTGATGCAAATAAAAATGTACTCTGGTTGAAATTTTGAGACTTACGGGCGAATGGATTGACAGACGAGAGGTAAGGAAACCATGCATCGATTTTACTCCCCGGTCGTTAATATCTTTAGAACGCTTTATTCTTACAAAACGATGTTTTTGTTTGTTTTCAATTTGCCTGGGGGTTACGAAACAACAAAAATGGTCAATTTCCAGCTTTACAGGAGAAGGAAGTCTTCAAGTACCCTTTCTTGCATTAAATAGGGACTAACAGGCACCTGAGCAGAATCACCGACGTTCATAGCTACATAGATAAAGAATCCATTCAATGGCGGAATTTGAACACACAGCGGTTAGCTGCACGTGGTTTAAAGCCAACGACCTGAACTGTCGGCCAATGACGCCTATACAAAACAGTGTATTACACACAATCTTTCTATATTAAAAAACAAAGATATATTTAAACATATTTCGATAGGTTTTACTCCCCGGTCGTTAATATCTTTAGAACGCTTTCTTCTTACAAAACGATGTTTTTGTTTGTTTTCAATTTGCCTGGGGGTTACGAAACAACAAAAATGGTCAATTTCCAGCTTTACAGGAGAAGGAAGTCTTCAAGTACCCTTTCTTGCATTAAATAGGGACTAACAGGCACCTGAGCAGAATCACCGACGTTCATAGCTACATAGATAAAGAATCCAGGCAATGGCGGAATTTGAACACACAGCGGTTAGCTGCACGTGGTTTAAAGCCAACGACGTGAACTGTCGGCCAATGACGCCTATACAAAACAGTGTATTACACACAATCTTTCTATATTAAAAAACAAAGATATATTTAAACATATTTCGATAGGTATTTTCCTTTCAAATAGTTAAAGATGAAATCCGTAATGATTTAATTCCGCCTAAATCAAACATGAACCAAAAGTGGTGTGTTAAAACAAATTAAAAGGTATTAAATGTAAAACAGTTTCAATTTAATCTCAATTTACACTTTTAATTTAAGTACCATCAAAAAGTCATATCATTTAACATGAAGACAGTGCATGCAAAGTTTCAATTTTCTTTATTATACAATGACAAAGTCAGTGATTCAAGTTTTGAAAACTCGAACGTTCATTTTCTACTTTTAATATATGTGTGGCTAGAAACCTCTAAGAGAACATATTGTTTATTTGAAATCCTCATGAAATCTTCAAAAAAGATATTATTTTATTCAACACAGGTCTTCCTTTACCTTGTACATATTCAGGTTTTAATGTGTCGTATAAATATGTCACACGATCGTTCACATGTATATCTCCCTCATCATTGTCCATCGTTACAGAAAATATTTTGAAAGCTCTTAGTTGTCTTACTAAACATTCAAAATTGTCTGTAGATGAATAAGTTATATTTTCAAAATGTAAATTCAAATTTATTTGCTCGATTTGGAGAATGAACTCTAATACATTGCTGAAAACATGGGAAAGGCAATTCAATTCTGTCAAACGATTTGATATTGTCAACATTGATACCACCTTATTATCTTTAACACTTATCTCAAGAGGAATACCAACTTCTCGATATCGAAGTTTAAATCTATCACTAATAAGTACTTCATCAGTATTGCGACCTGTAAATGTAACGATATCATAAGGGTTGAATTTTCCTAAGATCGCACAAAGATGCCCAATTATTTTCTTCCCTAGGATTTTCTTTAATTCCTTAATTCGTATCGTTACATCCACAAAGTTAATAATGTCAAATTCCCTTGAACAAAAGAACACAGCTACGAGATCGGTATTTTTAATCCATAACTCGTTTAGCGGACAACTTTGAATTTTACCGTTGTTTCTTTGGGACACGCTTTCTGTGCCTTTAATGGTTGTCCCTAATGTCACATTATCGATTATCTGAGAACGATTCAGTACTATTTTGGATATTTTGCATACAGATTCCCACGCATAATTCAAGTTCAATTCAACATCAACTTCTGTATCTCGAAAATATTTGATCATTGCAGACAGATTTCTGAGTGGTAGAGTAGTATCAATCAATTCAACAGTACGAATATTCTTGGAAAGCTTCCAATTTATTTCTTTGAAATTTGTAGATTGAATTTTTAATTTCCTTATATTTTTTAAATCAATACAAAACTTTCGGTTTAGGTCTTCTTCGATCCAAATGACATTAACTAGAGTCACATCAACACCATTATCCGACAAAGGAGTATTTTCTAGAAATGACGCGAATGCTGTTATTTTCAAACATACACACTCTAGCTCTAAAACCTGGAGCTGTAGATTTTGACTTGAAACTTTAAACTTAACTAACTCTTTTGATATTGCATTTATCAGATGAAAATTGTCAATTTCTTCAGAAGAAAACGACACGTTTGATAGGTCAACACGTTCAATCGTTAATTCTCTCAATTGTACACTCTGCAAATCAGAACATGTACCTGTATGAGTAATATCACTTTTACAAATTTTTATTTCCCCTATTTCGATGCGTTTATTAACTTCACAAGCATTAACAGTGATGTTCAAAACAGGACAATCAGAATTAAAATGCGTGTGTTTAGATTTTCTGATCTTTATACGATGGAAGGTCATTTCAATGACACCTTTTGTTTTTGAAACAGAATTTATCATTGTGCTCAAACCACTGTCTGTCATGTCATTCTCAGTTAATTCAACAGTACAACTATTTTGAGGCAGGATAAATTCCACGTTGGTAAGGTTTGTGAATTTGATTTTCAATTTTCCAACGTTCCGTACATGAACAGATAGTGGGAACATTTCTTTTTCAAAGTGTTCGTCTATCCAACCTATGCATATAAGAGTGACATCAACTCCTTTTCCTGACATAGAAATACTCTCTAGCAATGTCTTGAATGCCATATGTGTCAAACTTACACTTCTGAGCTCTATCATTTGAAGTTTCTGGTTTTGTCTTGAAAACCAAAGCCGCTTTATGCCGTAATTTGTTGATTCTATCACAACGGATTTTGGGTTACCTCTTAAGAATATATCAGTTAGACAAATATCTTCTTCTTTTAATTTCAACGTGAGATCTAATTCGTGGCCAAAGGCGATGCCCCTGTCACGACAATTTGACGCTATTTCTTTTAATATTTCTTGATACAAGTCTTGGCGTAAGTCTGCTAAGAAATAAAATACATTTGTCATCTCAACAATTTGATACGTTTGACCGCATCTATAGGCAATAAGTCTTTTGATTTCATTTCTGTCACTGTCAGCAGTAGCAATATGCACGGCTGCAAAAAACTCTTGAAAACTTTTATGGATAAACGACAATGATGTTTTCGGCATAAAAGTTGATTCACCAGATAAAGACTTTTGTGAAAGAATTCCCGTTTGCAGAAATAAAAGAATTTCTCTTGAATTCCAACCTTGCTGTGAAAGATCAAACATAGAAAAAACCAACGTAGACTCATGGGGCGTTTTAAACAATGAATCAAATGCAAATTTTGAAAGCTTGACAACAATGTTGCTATTGTCATTTATGTAGCGAAATACTTCCAGCATTTGTGGTAATTGTTGAGTTGAAATAACAAAAGGCAAATCATTTCTTTTTTCCGCCAGATGTAGCATAATATTTATAATTGAACAATACAACTCTGTTTTATATTTTTCAAGTTTAGAGTTTTCTTGCCATAAGCAAATTAGTAATTTGAGTAGGAGAGGAATATAAGCCAAATCATTTGTATCGCTCAAGCTAACTGCCGTTTCAAATGCAATTGTGTGATCTTTTGACTCCAACATATTTTCAATGAGCGCCTTTGATGATTTTTTCCCAATGCCCGTCAGTCTAACTTCTGATTCATGTTCTTCAATGCATGGACTGAGACTTTCGTATTTCCATCTCCGAGCCGTAAACAATTTGACATATTTTCCACCAACAGAGCTTAGTGGTAAACCTCTTGTGACAGTAGGATGTGTCGGCAAAGGTTTTGGAGGTTGCCATTCGTCCAGTCCATCAAGAATGCAAAGGCATTTTTCTGGAATTCTGACTATGGTGCTTTTAAAACATTCGTGTAGTTTTGAATTTTGAAAAAGAAGCTGTTTTACTATCATGTCTTCAATGGAGACCTCTAGATTAGTATCGCGAAGAGATATGAAGAAAAGGAAATCAAACTTTTCGATTAATGCATTATCTGTGTCGTCACCTGTGAACTGTGAACTTTTAGCGACTGAAATGGGCTGACCTTGATTGTTTATAGGACTTGATAATGCATTATCCATTATACCTTTGCTTAGTTCTTCGTTACATATAGAACTATCATCACTGTATTCTGTCTGCGACGTATCACTTTCATCAGACATATAACTCTCATAATAAAAATCATCCATATAATCTGCAAACCCTTCAACGGTCTGAATAGAGCTGTTCTTTGTCAATGATTGATTTTTAAAATCAAAAACAGGAGTATAATCATGTGGAAATTTTCCTTCATTTTCTCTAACCGTACACCATAGTGAAATCAATTTCCTGCAAAAAGTTGATTTTCCTATCCCTGCTTCTCCGGTAAGATATATGCTGAGCATGACTTTATTGTCTTGCTGGAACATATCGGCTAGTTTGGTTGCGGCTAATTTTTTGTGTTTGCAAAATATCTTTGCCTTTAACGGGACATAAAGCTCCTCAACGCTTTTTCTGTTCTTTGTAGAAAGTGGAGAAACTGGTATCTTAATATATTCTTTTTTATAAGATTCTAGTAAATATCTTTGGAGATCTGTCAAAAAATAAGAAAAATATAAGAAATCATGTGTAAAGCATGTATGAATAATTACAACTTTCGTCCTTGTGTTAAAAAATACATTGCCATGATAAGGATGACATGCTAACTGAAAGAATAGCATGTGAAATGGGTTGCATGTAAAAATAACTCGAACTATTTCTTTCATGTTGACATGATTAGGTTGTCTCCCTGACTTGTAACATAATTATTCTTAATTTTTATGCTATGTAGATATTGCTCACATTTTATATAACAAAGAGAAAAAGAAAACGTCGTTAATTGATAAATTTCTCGGCATTCTGACACAAACAAACAGCAAAAACATTGACATTTTAATAGTAGGAAAATGACGTCAGAGCATTGGTATTGTAGTGGTAGGCAAAAAGTACTTAAATATTTCTTAAATCCATAGATTGATGGACAATTCAATATAATGCATTTATTAGACATCGACGGACTTGACATTCTTTGATAAACATCAATATTTGTAACACAATTCATTACCTTTTTCATCTTCTGTCAGCCCAGAATTCAGAGTTTCAACATCAGAAATTTCTTTAGACTAAAATTATATCAGGAAATTGGTTGGACAGGAAAGATAGTGGTAGCACTTGTAGAATATTATACACAACAACACAACAGGAATATTTATTTATGATAATTATTGGAAACAAATGAACTTTGATTCATATCTGGTCAAATAAACTTAGTGTGTAATTGGTACTACTTTTCATGATTGAATTAAGCAATAGTTACGTTACTCTTTAAATCAAACCTACTATATGTAAAAATCTGAAGTTTTTAACTTTATCCTAATTTAATAGCAGGAAATAAAAGATGGCGTTATAGAAAGGTTTAACCTGATCTTCGACTTTGTTTTCATGCTCATTCACTCGACTCTCAAAGTATGCATCGATGTTATCTGTAATCTGCCTTCCCTTTGTTTCAATTTCGTTCACAGCTGTTTGATATCTACTTTCGAACTCATTCTTCTCTGTTTGCATACATATCGTTACAGCTTTGATTTCCTTGTTCTGTTCCAGTAGCCGCTGTCCAAAGTGTGAATCTAAATTATCATGAATTTCTTTTCTCTTCGTTTCTATTTGTTGAATGGCTTCGTCTTTTGTTTTTTCGATCATTTTTAAACCATCCTCGCCAGCTTTTAAAGCTTGTCTTCGCATTTCATAAGCATCTTCTAAGCTTATGTATATTTGATCTCTCTTTAACTGAATACATGAAAACAAAAAACATATTAACATTAAATTTTGAGACTCAAGAAAAAAGAAATACATATAAGTATTTTAAAAATCAGTTAAATATACGTTTTATCAATATCTAGTCACGCTGTTACTATAATTACTTCAAATATATGACTGAATGTTTTTCATTCCATTGTTTTATAAAAGGTGCCTTAACCTGGAGGTTGCCTTTGACAATAAATAATTCTAAAACGACAAAGAGAAGATTATTTTAAATATTTATAGGAATATTACAAGCAAATATAAAAAAAAATATGTAGGATAATAACCGTGTAATAACTGACAAACAAAAGTAAGTTATCAAGATAAATTAACAGAATCAATATTATAGTGACCTTTTCCAATTTTAAAACGGCATTTTGAGCAGCTACATCTGTAACTAATATCTTGGGATCTTGAAGAACCAAAATCATCTGATCGATATATTGATATAAAGATCTTTGATCCACTTGGAAGGACTTTGAATGCATGATATCATTGCGTATATCCCTAACCTTTAAATAAAATGAAGTGATTATAATATAAAGTACATGTAATATAAAATGTATCGTTGAGTCTACAGGTACGTTCAAAATTATGATATAGTTAAAACAGATCCATTTTAAGTGTCAACACCAAAAACGTTTAAAGGATTCCGCTGAGGCTCAAAAGCTTAAAACATAAACTTATAAAGTCGATTAATTTGGGCAAATTTAAACGGAAAAAAATGGCAACAGATTATTAAAAGATAATCTCACAAATGAATTTTTGTGACGTTATTAGCTTGATGTGAAAGCTTTCATTTGTGTTGTGGCATATTTTGCACAATTATAATAATCTTCTGCAAAATATAATCAGCAAATTTTAAAGTTTAAAGTTTTTTAAGATTTTACTGCTATCAAATTTTACACAAATTTTGAAAAATTATTTTCAGTCCAGTCTTGTCAAAAACAGTGTGGAGCTCCTTTAAATTTAACTTTATTAACTGAGGATAAATTTTGACAAAACAGAAGTAAATGGCGAATTTGTTGGGAATAAGACTGTTTAAGAACGACGACAAATTGGGGGAAATAACGTTATAACTTCTAGCGACGGCATAAACAGCCTAGATTGGGATACCAGACTTACAGAAAATCAGGTATTGATATGAATCAGAGTTTGACATTTTATGGACTCTCACTTAAACATCTTTATATCATAAATATAAATAGGAATGAAATTTAACAACATAAAAAATACCTTTTTTATATTATCTATGCAATCAACGTAATTACGGATCTCGATGTTATTCACAATAATTGACAATAGGCCAGCAGCGTCCGTGTCTGCAGCTGTATGTTGTTCTGAATAACCAGTAGTTGAGAGATAACACTTAGCGATTTCCCAATGATCACTATACCATTTTCTTGGGTCCGTGTTGACCCATAGAGGGTTTCTTTCGTCAAATGAGCAATAACAATTAAGTCATACAATCTGCTGCAAAGTTGTAGGGACATTTTCAGTCGTCAACGGATTGTTACAGAAACACTTGGATCTAAATTTATTGAATACATTGATGATCTTGGAATTCGATTTTGGCATGAAGTTTTCGGGATGTACTTCAGTGCAACTTTGGGTCGCAGAGGGACCCCGGTACCCTTCATGGTAACTCTGAAGAAGGTTGCTATTGATGTTGTTTAGCAAATTTGTCAACAAAGCTATATAAGCCTTCTTTTAATGTACTTTAGACTCAGGCAGCACGCACCCAGTCCTTGTAGAGCGGGGTCTTCAAGATCAGACATACCTGCTGAAATAGTTTCATATGTTTTCTTCAATTCACAAATAAGTAAATTTTACAGAATTTGAAAGAATCAAAAGCCAATAATGTTTTTTAATTCGAACACATTGTTCAATCATGAAATATATTAATCATTTAAATATAATATATGTTCATTGCAAATCATATCGAAATATAATATTAATATCTTAAAATATGGAGGCTCATATTCTCGTTAATACGAAATGGTGAGAGAAGCTACGAATTTTCAAAACGCAGTAAACGTTCATTGTTATATAATGCCATCTGTTGCAATGTAGTACACTCACGGCAGTTTCTGCTTTCACAATAACAAATTCAACTTGAAAATATAGTCCCAAAAGCAGTCCACTGAGCACATGCCGAAGTAATTATATTTCATTAAAAAAACAACAACAACAACAACTATTTTTGAAAATTTGTAACATTTCACGAGAATATGAGCCTCCATATTTTAAGACAGATTTTGGTTACCGGTCCAAACAGATTTAACGACAAAATATTTTACGACAAGTTATTTTAAGTTTTAAAGTTTTTTTTTACTTTCTGTTAAAGTTTAAGTATTTGATAAAGTATGTTCTTGTGAAAATGGTGTTCTATTATGTTTTCTTTCTAAGAGTACGTAGAAATAACCCACCGCTAAAGATGTAAATTAAAGAAAATACGTTAACAGTTCATACGAAAAAGACTATTAAAATTTAGGACTTCTCAATGAATATTATGGTTGGACAAAGATTAAATTGTTTTTGTAATCAAAATCATTTTAACAAAAGCAAAAAAGCACGTTAATTCTGCACTTACTGTTTAAATGGTTAACTCGTATTATCGTTTCCCTGAGCGGCTTCCCTTGCTTAACAGCCCAGCCGTCGCGTGACTTTGTCCATCTTTAAAGGCAATTTAAGTCAGTACCCTGATAAAGAAACAATCATTTCTTTCAAAAAATGAAATAGTAATTATCATTTTTAGATGAATAACCGACACAGGACCTAATATAAATAAGTTCTGCGAGAACACTGAAAACAAAGAAGACACTTGGTTGCTGGGTTTAATTCATTGTCTTCTAGTAATATATGAAATTAAACGGATCATTCAAATATATAACAGAGATGAACTGAACATCGTTTAGGTTGTATGAACTGCATATTTATCTTTTGCATTTGTACAGGGTACAAGGTATCATTTTAATATAACTATAAAAATATAAAGAGGTCAAGTTTCTATTCTGCAAAATAATATACAATTTTATATAAAACATTAAATTTCAATTATATATCATTGTGAACAATACTGGTTTAAGAAAAATTAAGTCGTATTTAGTTACAACATTTATGCAGACAACACGTGTCTACAATTTAGTCTTATAATAATGATTATTTACCCACATTAAAGCTAAATTTAGATCGGTTTTACCAATTTAAGATACTATATTAAGAAAATACTGATGAGCTTCCAAACGTTAATCGAAAATGAATAAATACTATATGCTATCGTATGCGTAATGCTTCTATTAAACTTTATGTTCAAAATTCAAAGATTTCACTTCTGACGAATTTCTTGTTTAGCAAACAACACATTAAACAAATTAAAGATTTACATCAGAGAGTATGAAAAGTTTTTAAGTTATTTAAGGTTTTGCAAATTTTACTAAATTTTACACAAACGCGGAAAACGATTAACTTGCTTAAGATAAATGGAAATGTAATTTTAGATGTAACGAACATTTTAAAAGAAACAATAAATTATTACAGACCACTTTACACTTCTAGTAAAATTCCAACAAATCATATAAAATCACACCTTAAGCAATATTCAGTATGAAAACGAATTATCCGATGATGAAGCGAAAATAAATAAAAATTGCAGTTTATAGAGGTAAGCCAAATAAATCGCCAGGAATTGATGGCATTCCTGCAGAATTCTATTAAGAATTTTTCTATTGCATAGGTTCACATCTCACTGAGTTTCTAAATAAATGTTATGATAAAAAACTATTGTCTCATTCATAAAAAAAATAGTTGTTCATCTTTGGTTTACAAAAAATGGGATCCACTTTTATGAAAAAATTATCGACCAATCTCAATATTATGTGTTGATGTAATAATTGTAACTTGTAATCTTGCCAATAGATTGCAAACTATATATCATAAAAAAGTAAGCTTAGACCAACAAGGTTATATTAAGAACAGATTTATCGTATATAACATACGTTTAAATAAGACAAAATAGATTATTTAGATCCGAAAAACTTCAAATAGATGGTAATAATGTTTCTAGATTTTCGTTATGGTGATACTCAAGAATAAATTTCTTAATTAATTTACTTAAACAATTTGTTTATAAACTGGTGGAAACATTTATAATGATATTGAGTCGTGTATTTTTATCAATGGACATAAATAATAGATGTTTAACTTAAATAAGGGTATCAAACAGGGATGTCCATTATCGGGCCTTTTATTCATATTGGAGGTTGAAACAATGGCTACTGAAATAAGAAACTCACAATATAGAAGGAACAGAAATTATATAATGATAATAATAAACTAATTAAAATAGCATAACTTGCTGATGATACTACTTTTTTCTGAAATCTGAACAAGATATTTTGAATGCAATAATCTGGTAGAGCACTTCGGCAAGTACTCGGGGTTACAACTCAATAGCAACAAGCTATGTGGACTGGAAAAGTAAATCTCGAACTTATAAAGAAGGTAATATAACATGGCCGAATAAACCAATTAAACCATTAGGAGTCTATTCGTTCTAAACTTAATTGGCAATCAAATCTAACTAAATTTCAAAGTCTTATAAAAAATGGTTGAAACGATAGTTAACGATGTATGGAAAAGTTCAAGTTATAAAATCTTTACTGCTACCTAATTTAATTACCCGTTTCATTCTTTAGTTGTGCCAGAAAGTATCGTGAAAGAAATAAATACAACGATATTTAAATTTTTAGAAACATGTAAAACGTGAAATATTAATAGGCAATAAATTACACGGAGGAATAGATAGGCTAGACTTAGACTCATATATAACTTCTTTAAAACATAAATGGGTAAAAAGATTTAACTGATGAGCCAGAATCAAACAGTAAATTAATACCGAAATGCCTACTGAAAGATATTGGTGAAAATTTCTAACATGTAATATCTTATTTTAACACAGACACTATTAAAAGTCTCAATTGTAGAATGTGACTTATATCAAGAACTTATCAAAATATGGATAAAAACAAACAGGTAATTTACAAAAAGAAGAACAAAATTTGACATTTGAACAAATAAGAAGACAAATAATTTTGGACAATAGATTCATTAAAATTAATAACAAATGTTTGTTTCTACAACATAGATTGAATCGAGTATATATTTCTTAAATTATTAACTTATTAATCCGGGTGAAATAGATCTAAATGTTATTTTAAATAAGCTAATATATAAATGCAACTGCGTCTTTAAAGCTATACCGCTAGCCTGGACACGTTTCAACTTTCGCAAACGAAAATAAAAAAAGAAAAACGCTTTTAACATAAATGACAGGCGTTTTGAAATGATGGAATCAAAAAGTATATATTAAATATTAGAATACAAAGTATTCATTAAACCCGCTGCACATTTGTATTGGTCTAATAAATATGAGAGAAAACTTATTTGGATGGACAATTCAAATTCAGAGTAGGTAACTTGGTATTTACCAGCAAAGATAAAAAAGCTAT